GTCCTGTGATCTCATTCAATAAGTGAGAGAATTTATTGCATAACTGTGTTCACCAGCCCTTCTTTTTATGATAAAATGTAACGAAACAAACTTTTTTTATGTGTTGGAAAACAAGTACAGTAGATACAACAATGAGTTCTCACGTTCTTGTGCACAGGTGCAACAGCTGGCAGAGACAGGGATGTGCCAATTCAAGCTAAGTGTTAAAAGGCATGCATTTCATTTGTGAACAAGTAAGGATACTGCAATAAGGTCCCGGCATAGGGGAGAAACCAGGTGGAAATAGTTTCACTGTTTCACCATGGGGATATAGTGACACTAATCCACTCGAAAATCCTGTTTACAGAACCATTAGTTCTGAAAACTTATTTTCTGGAACTGTGACTTTCCAGAGCTTCCTCTAAGATGATTTGTTTGTTTGTGTTCAAAGTAATTCCTGCACCTATCTGAAAAAAAAAATTATATATAATTTCATTGAATGTAAATTACTACCACTTTTTAAGTCAACCAGAGAGGCTCTGGAGCACATAATCTCCTAACAGCCGGTCTGTCCATTTATGTCCAGGTTGATACAGGCATTGGAATGTCACAGTCCCTGTATTTCCCTATGCCTAGATGAAGCAGGTGAGAAGTCAGAATTCGGTTTTAGGAGAATTGGCCCAATACCCACAAGTGAATAGCACCAGCAAAAGAAACAGTCTCTTAGGGAAAAAAAGTTGTCTTCCTTCCTCTATGGATATAGCTTATTTGTTCAAATGGAGCTGAACAAGTAACTAAGTAAGGAGAATCTCACTAAATTGAGTAGCTAACACAAAAAAATACATGAAGCATCACAAGTAGCCCAACTTTGTTCAGGTTTCATCCAAACTGAGAGCTGTAAGAACTGTGATAGAACAAGCTCAATTTTACTATCACTTACTAAAATTCCAGTCTGATAAGTTATAGTTGACTATATGTACTAACGTAACTGAGTTAAAATTTGAGAGAGACTTTACCTACTTGGTCTCCTATCACATCTCATTTTTGATCCCATGTGCTGTTAGTATACTCCACAGAGGCATGTATCTTTAACCTGAAAGTGTATTATTTTCTCAAAGTCTTCACTAACTAGCAATTCACGAGTTAAAAACTTAGTAAGTCTTGTCTGGACAATCTAGAAAAAAAAGATCAAGCAATTAAAAAACTGAGCTACATTCTGTTTGCTTTTTCTCTGCATACATGCAACTTTTCAACAAACCCTTGTTTTTAGAGACTCACCATGGGAAAATTTGAAAACAAGAAATATATTTGCAAAATGCTAGAGCAGAAGTACAAGCCTTAGCTAAAATGCACAGCTAAAAGAGTACACAGATCCCTCAAATACTGTTAAATACTGTGCCATTTTCAGGACTGAAGGTAGTAGAGGTGGGTGGCACAGTGGCACTGAACCTAATACTGCTTCTGAGAGCTCAGTTAGTATCCCTCCAGAGTACTGCACTGTGCCAGGGAGATAAACCATTTCCATTAAAATGCCTTCAGTTTTAGTAATATTACACTGAATTGAATAGTTGAGACATATCCAAAGAGAGTTTAAAATAGATTTTAGAGAGCAATGGGATCTCATAAGGGACAAGTGGTGTGTCACAACAAACTGCAGGTTTCTCATCTCAAAATTAATCATAATTAATTGAAGAAAGGATAAATTTTCAGAAAATTGAGTGAAAGGTTGGGGGAAAGTAGAAATTCCCAGCCATGTCTTGAGATAGCATGTATTTTTATATAAGAAGGGAATAATTAGGGCCAGGTTAAGAGGGAACTGGAAAGAAAATGAAAAAAACAAGTTTTGAGTCCACTCTGAGGAATCTCTTAACGTCCATGATCCACCCTTTGTGTATGAGATTGTTCCTGTCTCACACTTCCCAGCTGTGGTACGTTCACCCTGTAGGTTGTCAGTGCAGCATCACAGCCTCCTTCCTCTTCAGGGACCCCATGAAGCACGTGTAGCTGACAGGGGCCCCCACAAGATGCACTTGGTCTGTGAGGAGAGGGCACTGCACTGTGCTAAACCCCATATTCATACAAGCATCTTCAAAATCTGTCATGTGTTAAAGCCTGTATATATGCCCTGCCATCACATGAGCTGGCACACACTCCTAGAAGGAAAAGGTCAAAGAGGTAGAATGATCCCCACCTCTGCCTTCAAATTTCAGAATTCTCTTTTTCCCCTCTCTGCCACCACCTGTCCTCACCAGACTGGTGGGAGGAAAGAAACTTTTTTTTTTTCTGCTGCTGATTGACAAAATCAATTAGGTCGGAAAAGACCTCTGAGATCATTGAGTCCAACCTATGACCGAACACCATGATGTTGACTAGACCATGGCACTAAGTGCCACGTACTGTCTTTCCTTAAACACCTCCACAGATGGTCTGATTTTACCAGACATCTCCACCACCTCCCTGGACAGTCCATTCCAATGTCTAATCACTCCTTCTGTTAAGAAATTCTTCCTAATGTCCAACTAAACCTTCCCTGGTTACAGCTTAAGACTATGTCCTCTTGTCCTGGTTACACAGAAACACAGTGTCTCTCCTCATGGCTAGTAAACCATTACACGTACAACTCTTCAGGAAAGATAAGGTTATAAATTAAAGTAAAAATAAGGGTTGAAAGGCCAGACTTCCCTGGCAGTTTCATCCAAGCTGCCAAAGCCTGCCTAGTGTAAAGCTGGCTGCTGAAGAGTTTCCCATTTTGCCTTTCACTGGCACTTTCCTGTGCTGGATCTGCTGGACATGAAACGGGAAAGGAATGACAGCTGTTTTGGAAATTTATATTATCCCTGGCTTAGATCTGTTCAAAATCTATTTATTTTGCTAGAAAAATGCAAAGAGGCCCTGGCAGCCAACAGAAAATTAATTATTTTGCATACATTGTGTAACACTATTCATTAGTTTTACATGAGTGGTGAGAGGTCAGTCAGGAATAGAATCCCATTGTGCTAACCTTCAAAGAGCTTGCCATGTAATTGAATGGAATAAAGGAATTAAATATGCAGGCAGAATTAACACTAGCGGTTAGCAAACAGCACATTGCAAATATCTACAACTTCTTTGTCTAAATTCTGGAGTTGAGATCTTGGGGGAAGGTGATCAGATAAGCAACAAAAACAAAAACAAAGAAGAATACTGAGGGGATGTGGATTAAACACATGCAGAAAGGTATCTGAATGCTATAGTGCATCCAACTTCTCGTGTATTAGCACACAGACCTACAACATATATTATGCACCACTCTACATGTGCCTTTCTGCTGTTGTTTTCTGTATAGAGAGCATGCCATATGTAGGGCCACATAAGAGACATTTTAGAAAATGTGGTAAAGCTCTGACCATATATATCACACAGCTCGCTTTTGTTCTGCAAAACGATGAGAACACTGGGAGTCAGTATGGTATGATCTAAATTTGAAAATAGCTCCCCAGAATCTGCCGAATCCATTCAGAGTTAACTAGCAGGAGAACATCACCATTCAGTGTTCTGGGTCCATCTGTTGGCAATATCATGATGGAAATAGCTTTTTAAATGCTATTTTCAATAAGCTATCATGCAACAGCTTGTTCCAACAATATTCCAATACCTTTCTGTTTGTTTGCTATAAAAAACAGCTCAGAGGAAAGGAGGCATTTCAGTACTATACTGATGTAGGGTGGGAGGGACAGAGACACTACAGGAACCAGCAAAGTGAGAAACAACTATAAAAAGAAAAAAGGAGAAGAAACTGTTATTTTAGACCTCCTGCGATCTAGATTTAAACCAGAATGTGGAACCCAAACTACAGTAGTGTCAAGAGAGGGTTGGTCTGCACCCACCAGTCACTAGAATTATTGTGCAGTAACAGTGTCAGTCATAGGAAACCCAAGGGCTCCTAGACACAAATGGTTAGTACACCTAGTGATTGATTACCTTCAATTCTGCAAGACTTGCTGAACTGTGTGCTCCAATGAGTACTGAAAAGAAGATTCACCTCCAACATTGTAACACTCAGTTGTGTGGTACCAAAACAATCTGTCCTACATAATTCTTCTGAAAATATAATGTATCTGTCAGTTTACTTCTCAAGTAAAACAAATGCCAGTGACATGCTGATGATACATCACTAGCATCAGAGTGGCTTAGTTGCAGCTCAGCAATAAAGAAGAGATGACTGCATTTGAATTGGTAGGAGAGAAATAGAAGTTCTTTTGGTTTACACCAAAAAGTTTCACAATTATTCAATTAATCATGCAGTTGTCACAGCTAGCTTTGGCACATCTAATGTCACAGCTTTTTAAACAAGAAACCAGATCATCCTAAGGTTTCTTCTGACCTATGTTATCCCATGATCCTGTGGTTCTAAAATTAACTGCTCTGTGCTAATTACCTCTATACTACTAAATCAAGGTCTACAATGTATTTCTTGTAAAGTTTTTATTTTTAAAGGCTGAAGTCCTTCAAGAATCATAAGGAGCACTCAAGTTTCGAACAAATTATGCATTTTGTTTCCCCAGCAGTATTAGAAATATGGATAGTTGGGAAGGATGAAAGTTGAGAAAAAATACTATATGGGAAGGTAAACTAAAGAAGTTATGAAACATTGTAAGTTCATGTAAATGGAGATGCAGAAAGAGGAAAGTAAACCTGAAAAAGCCATATGGAATTAATAGTGATAAAATCAGAACATATACTGGAAAGAAAACTAATAGTACGTAAAATTACAAAATATTGCATACGGACTTCATGATTAGTGCTACAAGAAAAATGTACTGCTAGCTCTCTGTACATTTGGGCTCATTCATAAAATATTTTATCTTCTCCTGCTATCAAGATTGCTTCTTAAATACAAAACGTATTTTGTGTTCTGTTTATCTGTCTTTGGCCTACTTGCATGCGTAAAGCAATAACGCCCTCTTAGAACGCATGCATCATAGCCTGCTATTAAAACAAAAATTACAACTAATGAGAGGATGCTTATGGTGAGCACCTACCTGAGGACGTATAACTTTCACTATGTTTTTAAGTGCAGTGTCTGGTGATGGAGGAGAGCAGTCAGGTGTTGGGCCTGTAGAGCTGTTTCTATGGTTACCAGATCCTGGTGCGGTAATTGCTACCTGAGGTGCATTATCTGTGAACAAAAATAAAAATTATGTGAACTTACAAATACTTCATACATTTTAAAATAAAAAGTAATTTTGGAAACAGAACACTGTTTCAACTTACAAAACCTATTAAAATTTAAATATATTTGCTAAGGAATATATTGCATCTTGACACTTATTTTGTCAATGCATACATTCATTCTATGTTAAGGCAAGATACACCATTCTCTCAGTACCTAAACAAAATGAAGTAGAAACTAAGCGCAAATATTTTACTTCCATTACCTTGCATTAGCAACTCTGAATCCAAGTACTATCACTACAACAGGAGTGACTTGAAAGGGAAATTTATAATGTAACTCCTACCTCATCCTGCTAAACCGTAACACATACAACCCAGTCCAACACGTTATATAAACACATATTCAACTTAGAGTATGCTACTAGCCATCATCAACAGCTTTCCTGAACATTGTGATCAGTGTAACTGACCAGCAAATATTAATTACATGAAAGTATACTCAGTTTCTCAATTAAAATTTGCATCCTCCATAGAGCTCTGCACTGCACTAGCTACCTTTCCAACAGTATCTCAGCTAGATAACCTACAGCTGGCTTAAAAATGTCTACAAACATGTGCATGTACATGGAAAAGTGCTGTTTGGACATATTTTGCTCTTACCATTTTATGGCACTGTGAAGGACCATTCAAAGGACTTAAAATATCATTCTTACCTTCTCTAAATGTTCTTAGTGCTTTTTGATCAATGTAAAGTTAGTGAAAATTAGATCAGAGTATAGAGAGGACTATGAAATAGCTTCCCAGCTGTGATTGTAGCTGAGCACCAGAATGACTTAGCAGGAGGCCAAAAACTCCACATTACTTCATGCCTTTAGAATTGTATCAGTAAAGAAATGCTTTAGTTCAGCTTCTGGGGAAAATGCCATTGCCTGTGCACGGCTATGGTGGTCTTTACAGTGTCTGTGAATTTATCAATTACCTTTCTTTGTCAATCACAAAGACATGTGCTCCATGCTCCTAAATGTGCTGTAACAGCTGTGGCTCTGCTTTAAGACAATGATTACATTCAAATCTTATGTGTGGACCTCAACTGACAACCTGCAGAGTTCAGAGGAGAAAGGCAATTTACTTCTGATTGCGATGGTTCTCCAACATGTGCTTCCACTCTGTGGACAAATCATCTCCAGAAGAACCCAAACACCAATAAGCAAAAGCAGTTCTCTTAAGCTGGAGAATTTTTGCCTGACCAACTTCTGCAGGTACACACATAAGCTCCTCCATCTGCAAAAGCCAGAAACGCCTCTGTGAAAGCCGTGACAGAAGCTTCTCCCTACTACCTGAAAGAATTCTTGGAAGTGTAAAAGAGAGATCGAAGGGAAGGAAATATCCAGTTACATTAACATAGGATAAAGAGGAATAGTTTCAAGAGTGTAGACTTGATGGCCTTTCCAACTTACAGATACTTTCATAGCACGGATGATTCTAAGATACACTTCCTGCAGAAACACTGTGTAACTGGATGAGGTCTTAAAGTTTCTAATCAAATACAGACTGACGAATAAGTCTTCTAAAATAACATCAGGCTGGAATGTTTCAGCAATAACATTACATTATTGAAAGTGTAAACAAAAGTTCAGATGGCAGTTTGGTAGACATCGAAAATGGAGACATCCTGTAGATAACCTCAGGTGTTACCTGACATCTGACAATCACCCTCCCTGTTGCAGAAAGACAAGTCCAACTCTTTTAAAAAGTATCTCATCAAAACTGCCAGTCCTTTAGGTATGCAGTCTTAACACACAGATCAGTTCTTCCTGAACCATTGCAAGTGTGCACAGAAATCCTGAATCTGAAGTAATTTATTTCAGAAATTAATAAACATGTGTTAATACAATGAGTCAAAACAATTCTTGCACAGTCTTAGAAAGGAACTTACAGTAAATCCTCACAATAACATAGCTGATGTGGAAGATTTTTGATAGCACTTCAGAAAGCCTTAAGTCCCTCTTATGCCTTCCCATCTGACCCAATCCCTAACTTTAAACCTGGTCACGTGCACCATGTAAACAAGTATTCTGTGATTTGAAAGCCCAGCTCATCAAAGGAGGGACAGGGATTTGACAAGAAGAGACCCCCTAAAGACTTGCCATACTCTGAAAATCTCATAGTGAGGATGAAGTGTTAGTAGCACCTTAGCTGAGCTGAAAGTCTCAGCCTCTTTTGCTCCAGATTATAAAATATTATCTTCTTTCACTCTATGGAGAGACTCATCAATAGATCAGCATCCATGAACCTCCTGACTGAGGAATCAGAGAGCTGCTTTAGGAGAGTCGCTTTAAGAGAGTTCTGCACTGTGCTTGGGCAAATATTAAACAAGGGACTATACTGCTATCAAGAAATGTGGGAATACAGGCACCATCTGTAAGGTAAGAAGTACGTTCTAGAGTGAGAAATGCTCCACATGAGTCTAGCTAAGTGTACTTATTGCACTTCTTTACTCACTAGTGTGAGAAACAAACAGAATTATTGTCTCTGACAAACAGCTAAATCTATAAAGAGTACAAACTCTTCCGCAAACTGCTTCAGCAGTCCCTGGCCCTTTCTGTCACTATTTCCCTGGGTGAGCTTAGCACAGCTGCCCTTGAGCTATTTAGCACATGAAAGCCTTGTAAGTGAAACTGGGGAGTCTTGCAGATGCAGAAGTACCTCAAAGATGGATCACTCAAAGGACAGAGAGAAATACAGACTGGTGCTGTTGGTAACAAATACAGTTCTCTGCCCACCAGTTTATTCAATAATTACCTCAGCTCAATTTAACCCCACTTTAAATATGCAGAAGAGGTTAATAGAGGGGTCAAGTTATAAGACTTCTTGTTGACCCTGCTCAATGGTAGCTCACTGAAGACTAGGTTTTGCCCATAAATACAGTCCCACACAAGTGGCATCGAACTGACTGGGAATGATGTTCTTGGAAGGGAAATTTATTTGAAGTCATTCATGAGGGGAGGAAGGACCGTTATATGCTCCACTAGACAAGTGGAGAAGAAGAAATTCTCCAACTACAGTGTGTGAGTACAGCCATAACCAATTCAGCAACATACACAATATGCAGCAATCTCAGAGAAGAGTAGTTACAGTCTTTCCTTCCAAGTAAAATTAAGTGGCAACACAAAAAGAAAAAAAAGGATCGTGTTTTAGAGTCTAAAAATAAAACTTTGGAAAAAGAAGCCAAATATTTTTCTTTGAAATAAACAACCCAGAAAGAAAATCCAACTGCTCAGTACTTCATGCCTTCCCTCATTTCTCAACAGGATAAGTGTCTGACATGTAATGGTTCCTTGTAAACAATTTCTTTATTGTGGACAGCTGTTTATTTTCACAGTAGGATCTTCCCATTAGGCAACCAATAATGATTTACTACCTGGATCTCCATCAGAGAGACAATATAACCATCAAATAAGTTCCTGCAACCAATTTGGAAGACTTGTCTGTTTATGTATACATTACTTGTAGTTTCATTAAAAATATATTTAAAGGTATTTTCTTTTGTAATTAAATTACATAATTTAATTTTCTCTTTCTCTGGTGACAAAACTAAAGCAAGCTTCTTTTTCCCTTTTCAGTAACCATAATGGCAATACTGCAAGTTTCAGGGGAACATTTCATGGGAAAAGGAACTTAGAAACTTTAGAAACTACCAAATTTACTCAGAAAAGATTAGCTCTCCTGCTGAGTTTCTGATAGGTGCTATAGAAGGACCCAACAGGGAAGTATTTATGGCTGTCATTCTCTTCTAGTTCCCAGCTCAAGTTGGAACAAACTAGAAGATGCTTCTGTATAAGTCAGATAACACCAGGCTCCAGGGATCATCTAGCAGCTAAAAATTAATGAACTGCAGCATGCTTTAACAATATTCCTCCCTGCCTCCATCACACATGAGAAACTGTCACAAGGTTTATGTAATTGGAGTTTATTCTGATTTTTAAAAATGGTTAATGAGGACTTGCCATTCTCCATTTCCTTCATTTCAGGGCAAAGGAAACAGAATAGAACAAGGATAATATACTACATTATGTTTTCTATGTCCACAATAACCAAAATGATTTTTTTTAAAGGTTAGAAGAACTCAGGTTTTTGATTAACAGGACTCATGTAATGTGCACTATGAAAATTGCTATGCTGATCTACATCCTGGAAAACCTTACTAATTTCCTTTGTTTGTGGGTTGGTTGATTGACTGATTGATTGATTGATTCAGTATACAAGATTTAAAGGATAGAAAGTGTTACAATGCAATTACAATCCCATTTACTATTAACGATCTCACGGATATATGAAAGAAGATGGTGATTCTTATTTCTCACAGGATTAGACAGGTTTCCACATCTTAATCTTAATTTCCAGATTTCGATGTCTCTTGACATTCTATTTGCTACTTTTCCTAATTTTTTAAATATTTACAGGAGGAGCAGACTCAATATTCACAGCAATGGTCACACTAGTGCTTCACACAACTCGTTTAAAAGCTGAAGGTCAGGTTGTTCCTACCACTTTTTAACAACCTTTTACTCTCAAGCAACTCTAGCATTATTTAAATTACAGTAACACATAAACCTGTGCCTTGACTTCAGCTACACTAGAACTTCATAATATTAAATCAATGCCACCAAATCCAGAAACCCAGATTAGGCTTTTACTGGCTGTCCTGGTTTCAGCTAGGATAGAGTTAATTTCTTCTCAGTAGCTGTTAGAGTGCTGTGGTTTAGATTTGGAATGAGAATGGTGTTGATAACACACCATTCTCTAAGTTTTCTCTAAGTCATGTTTGTCACATCTATCCTAAGACCAAGATCTTTTTTCTTGTCTCATACTCTGCTAGTGAGGAGGCATGCAAAAGAAATTGGGAGGGAGCACAGCCAGGACAGGTGACCTGAACTAACCAAAGGGATATTCTACACCAAGAACATCATGTCCAGTATAGAAACTGGGGGGAGTTACCCCTCA